TTTTTTTTATTTAACATAGGTATTAGCTTATTTTGGTAAGAATTTATTTTCAAAAACTTCTATTAATTTAAAAAAATTTGAAACGTAAAAGTTGCTTTCATAAATTGTTTGAAATAATACTCCAATGATGCACCGAGTACCAATAAATAAAATACATTTTTAGTTTAACTACTTCCATTAATTAAGAAAAAATTGTTATCATAAATTGTTTCAAATAATCTTTTAATGACTATAATGTGTTACCAATCACTTATTAAACTCAATAAAAATATGAATTATGCTAATATAGAATTTATTATTACTTTGTTATCATTTTTCATTATGATTATTTCATAATAGGTATTATTTTTATATTAAGAACAGCCTTATATTATTTATTCAGAATTAAAATGTAGGCATCTTTATATTAAACTAAAAATAATATTTAAGATTGACAAATGCATTTACACTGTACAATAATAGATATGATATTACTGACGTAACCTTGTTAATTACAATTTAAAACACTTAAACCTAACCATTTATTGTTCATTTTGGATAAAACCAATTTGGTGTTGTCTTTTACTCTTTTCATATTTTTACTTTAAGAAATATGAATAATGTAAATTAGTTTCTGATTTACTGATATTTTAATAACTTCACTTTATAATGTTTTAACTATTCATTTAAATTTCAAGTAGTAGTTATGAAATAATTTAATTAAATTATGGACTGGCTGCAATTGTTAGTTCCTAGATGAGGCCACATATACACAAATATGTGTTACAACCTACCAACTTAAAATCCAACAAACAAATATACAAAAATAACCCCTACTACACCCCACACCAAATGACCTATGTTGYCGTGAGTTCCCGCTAATAATAATAAACAAAATTCCCTAGTTTTTAAAATGTAAATGCAGTTTTTTACAGGAAATTTCAAGTCTAAAACTACTGTATGATTGCATTTTAAAAATTATAGTTTAGGCTTATAAAGTAATTAGTTACTCTCAATAATTATAATTATTAGGATATCAAGACTACTCTATGTTAGAGTCGATTAATAATTATCAATTTATTTTACATTGATAATTGTGATAATTGTTATGCATAATTAGGAGTTATTAAGTTAAATATGTCTTTAACCTATTGGATACAATTAAATACACAGTTGAATACTTATATTTAATTAATAGCTTTACTAAATTATGTTTTAGTGTTTAATTTAATTTAATGTATTAATTATGAATTAAAATATTAAACTATATACTACATAGTTTTATTACTGTTTTTTAAACTGAACATACAACTTTCAATAGGAACAATTTTACGTCTAAAGCTATTATATCATTTCAATTCAGAGATTATAATGAAGGTTAATAAGTAATTACTAATATTTATAATTTTTAAGATATTAAAATAATTTTATGTTAGTGTTAATTAACAATTATCAATTTATTTATTTAATTCATTTAATTTGACATTTAATACACAATTAAGAGTTATTAAGTCAAAAATTTCGTTTTAGAATAATCTTCTGATGTTTAAGTACTTAATTTAAATATTTCTAGTTTAAAATATGCATAGTATGCTATACTACTCGTGTGTATTTTTACAAATGATAAAACCTATACAATTTGAACAAAATAAATCCAATTTTGTGTTAGAATTTAAATAAAAGTGAATTTACCTTATGGTATGACCATAAACTGTATGTTCTCATTGTTTTTTTATATGAAAAATAGTTTTAAGTTTTGAGTATCTAAAATACTTATATATATAATATGCTTAACACATTGACTGCCATGCAGCCGCCGGCAGCCTCAAGAATATTTATCATGGGTACGCCATAGACATTTTTCAGTGTCATTATAAATTTGTATTTGTATATATACTATTGAATTTGAAAAAAAAATTAAAAATACAAAAAAAAAAATGTTAAAATTTTGTTTATTGCATAAAAAAAATTTCAATTATTCCCACTACGCCACAGCATATTTCAAGATCATTATTGTAGTGCCAAAGAAAAGTTAATAATATAAATCCAAATTAATTTACGGCAGCCGGCGGTCTAAAAATTATCAATACCTAATTATTATTATACGGATGCCGGCGGCCTCATGGCACATGGCAGTCAACGTGTTGAAAATTAAAACATCATTAAAGCCCAAAATCTTTTCAATGTTGTTAAGAACACAAATAATCTTCTCACCTTGAAGTTAGAACATAGAAAAATTCTCTTTAATGTTAACAATAACAAATTGGTTAAACTTAACGTAAATTTGTTATGTTAAACATTTTTATGATAGAAGCAACACACCATGCAGGTGTGACCTTAAATCCAATGAATATAATTTCAAATCATATTAATACTTACAATATTTATTTGTTTTTATATAAGCTGATACATGAAAAAATATGTTTTATATAGTTTTAGTATAATATTATTTGGATTATTTTATAAAGAGAGATTCTCTCTAAATATTGTAAACTTTTAGTGTATTATTATATTATTTACAATGACTAATATTGTTATTTGCTTATCTATGATGTAGGTTTGGACGAAAACTGGTGTTCATCATTTTTCTGCTAACTCTGAACAAGAAATGACTGACTGGATATGTGCTTTGCAAGCTGTGGCTTTTAGAGATAATGTTTCGAGGCAAACAATTGAAGAAGATAATGATTTATATTGTTCATCCGGAGATGGTAAGCTAATAAAAAAATTATTTTATAACTTTAAGGGATATGATTTTTATGTAATATAAGTTAATAATTAAGTATGTGCTTAATGTTATCATTAAAATGTAATGRTAATTGCTTAAATTTGAATGTACTCATAAGTTTGGGTTAAAGTTTAAGCAGTTATTTTTTATTTATATTATTTAATTTTGAAAAAGTTTAAAATAAATTATGTATTTGTTAAGCTCAAATATTTGTTCACTTTAATTAATAGTTAATATTTTTTTWAATATATCATTAAACCAAACAATATGTTTATAACTTCTATACTCTACTCCAAATAAGATCAGTCTTCGGCAAYGACCAGTTTTTGTCGAKTAGCAGTCAGGCGACACCCGCTTATCATCCTCTCCCACAAGTCTACTATTTGTATATCCAGCTGTGTAGTACTGCCACACCCATGCACATAACTCGGCAATTGAAGTTTGATCTTATTTGCAATAGAGTAGGTATAGTCAAAATAAATCCAAATATGATGCAAAATGAAATTTACACTTCACTTATAACAGATTAATKAAAATATTTTTGGAATTAAGGTACTAAAAATCATCTAAATAAGCTCTTTATAAATATTAAAGTAAATAAAATTAKCAATCTCTATTACAGTTATCACTCCTTCAAGCACTAAAAAATAAAATATTGCTTCTTTTAAAAACTTTCATGTTTTTCCTCTTATATTATACAAGTATTTATGCCTATACTTATTATATTTTTGTATGACTTAATAACTTTTGTTCTAGCAGTTAAAAGGACACTACAMAACTATTTGTTGTCTCCTTCTCAAAAGTGCGTAATATAACAAATTTATGTTCAGCAAATCACGTTTAGCTCCACTAGTGTAAAAATTGGAGTGAATTTACCTATTATGAAATTTGATGTTCTTAACATTATCTATGTTTGTATGTGGATTTTTTACAATTATTGTTCAATTTTGTAGCCAGTTATGCATATATAAAAAAGCATAAATTAAAAATGCTCATAACTCACTTAAAAACTAAGTTATCTTAATAAACCCACACTCAAACACAGWTAATGTTCTTAACATCTAGTTCTAGTTTAAAATAGGTCAATTTACTCTAATTTTTAAAAAAACGGAGTTAAATGTGATCTGCTAAACAAAAATTTGTTATGTTACATTCTTGTAAGACGGAGATATAAAATAGGTGTGTAGCGTCCTCTTAATCTTTAAACTAATTAGTTTTTGTTATTGCATAGACATGGAATCAAAGAGTTTGGTGTGACGATATCAAAATTATTTTATTTTAATAAATCTTTATCAATGTCTTTGAATAGAACCTTTTGTTTCTGTTACTTCTTAAAAATAAATGGAATAAATTTGATTTAACATCTAAAAATAATCCTTAACTGTACTGCTCAAAAAATTATATTTTTCAAACTTTTTAATTCCAAACCAAAAATTGAAAAAAACTCTATTTGAATAATAAACACTTTGAAATAAAATATTGTAAACATTAATAATAGGAAATTAATTGCCATAACACTCTGCCAGGAGTCAAGCCAAATAAATAAAAAAATACATTATGTCCCAAACTCTGCTAATGAATATAAATCCTAGCTTTAATTAATATTATTAATATCATTACTTCACTCAGCAGTTAATGTTTAAACCTATTTTTTTCAGCTGGTGTTTTTAGTGTTAAATTAATTTCATCAGACGCCAGTGAACGTTGTGGTTTAAAAGAACAACCTTATACATTAGTCATTACTCCTGTTGCTCTACAACTACGAGAATCTGATGAAAATGATACACTACTTCTAACGTGGCCATATAGATTTATTCGAAGATATGGGTATAGAGCCGGTAGATTTACATTTGAAGCTGGTCGCAAATGTGCCAGTGGTGAAGGTGTGTTTCATTTAGAACACTCTAATCAACAAGAGATATTTAGATGCATCTCATCAAAAATGAAAAGTATGAAAAAACTTTTGAATGGCGGAGGTGATGCGACATCTATCATGTGTGGTGATAATCAGTTCCGAGCGGCTTTGTCTATGATGGCTCGTTCTCGAAGCCCCTTACCACCATCGCCCACTAGCACTACTCCATTAATTTTGGATAATGACTTTAATAGCTTTTCTTGTTCAATGAAACCTCTTATGCCTTTACCAACATTATTAGTACCTCCAACTACGTCTCCACCACCACCACCACTAAAACCAAAACCAAAGACAATTTTTTCCAAGAAGGTACCTACTCCTTTCACAAATGACCAAGAAACAGAATCACCAGATGCAGCATATGAAGATGTCCAAGTAAGAAATGATGCCTGGAGAACTATGGGTCTAAATGATTCAAATCATTGCGAAAAACCTTATGCCAGTAATAATGTAATATCTGATGATGGCACTGAACATTATGACCATTTACAACATTTTGGTTTTATATCTAAAACAGCACCTGGGTATAGACAAATTCACCCTATTGCTTTAACCACAAAGCATAAATCCATCATAAAAGCAGACACTTTAATGATGCCTGCTCGAAAAGCTGATGATTCCCATTACGGTTATGGTACTATAAATAAAAAAAACTCTACCGAAGAAAATCGCTCAAATAATGAGTCTTTGGACTCAGTAGCTCACAATGAATTGCAATATGCTATGGTCTTCAAGCCTAATAAGGTCTAGTCTTATTTATTATTTTTTATTAATTAAAATCAACATTTAAATTCATATATTGTATATCATATTTTCCTATGTCCAAACAGAATGTAAATTTATTAAATAGATTCTAACCTAGTAGAAATTTGTTTTGTTTCATATTTTATCATTGACTACATCACATTTAGACATTAAGTTAAAAGTTGTTAATATCTTTATATTGTAATGTTTAATTTTAGAGTTTCTTATATTTGTTTTATTTAATTTATAACAATTTTACATTCTTAATAACATCATATTATATGTGCAATAATCACAATAGAAAAGATTTATATATA